CCCTTCTTCAGAAATTCAGATTTCTGAAGAAGGGTCTCGACCCGAAACGTCAGCTTTCCTGCTCCTCTGATGCTGCTTGGCCTGCTGTGTTCATCCAGCTCTACACCGTGTTAGCGCAGATTCTCCAGCATCGGCAGTTCCTACTGTCTCTCCTCATAACAGAGACTTTTCATCCCAGGCAGCATCCTGGTGAATCTCTTCTACACCTTCCCCACAATCCCGTCCTTCTGATAGTGTGACAACCAGAATTGCACTCAGTATTCCATCTGTGACCTAATCAATGTTTTATAAATTTGTAGCAAGACTTTGTATTCCTCTATTCTATGCCCTGGCTCATGAAGGCAAGCATCCCGTAAATCTTCTTTACCACCCTATTGACCTGTTGTGATACCTTCAGGGATTTCTACAGGAAGATTCTTTTATTTCTTCATACTGCTGAAGGACCTACCTTACATTGTGTATATCCTTCCCTTATGACACCTCCCAAAATATATCACCTTGCATTTGTTGGGTTGAAATTCCATCTGCCCTTGTTCTGGCCAATTTACCAGCTGATCAATATTAGACTGTAGCCTGAGACCATCTCCTCACCATCAACAACAGCACCAATTTTCGTGTCATCCGCAAATTTAATAATTACACCTTCTACATTCACATCCAAATTGTTAATGTACATAACAAACAGCAAGGTTCCATCATTGAAACCTGTAGTACACCGCCGGTAACAGGCTACCAAATTCAAAAGCAACCCACCATCATCACCCTTTGCCTCAAATTTGTAAGCCAATTTTGGATCCAGTTTGTCAACTTGCCTTGGAACCCATGGGCTTTTACCTTTTGGACCTGCCTTCCCTGTGGGACCTTGTCAAAGGCCTGACTGAAGTCCATGTAAACTACATTAACTGCACTACTCTCGATATATTTAATCACCTTTTCAAAAAACTCAATTAACTGATTCAGGCAGCATCTCTCTCTAACCAGTCCATGCTGACTACCCCGATCAATCTCTGCCTTTCCAAGTGTCGATTAGTCCTCTCCTTTATACTTTTTCCAATAATTCCCCTCCCACTGACGTCAGACTGACTGGTTTGTAATAACTTGGTCTTTCCCTGCTGCCCTTCTTGAACAAAGGAACCACATTCGTTGTCCTCCAGTTATTTGGCACCTCACTTGTGGCCAGCGAAGTATGAAATAGCTCCACCAAGGACTCAGGATTCTCCTCCCTTGCCTCCCATTGTAGCCTGGGAGACATCTCATCAGGCCCTGGCTATGGACCTGCTAAAACATCCAATTACTCTTCCTTATTAATCTTAATGTGTTCTAGAACCTCCCAATATCAACTGAAATCCCGGCTAGAATGTCTTTCTCCTCTGTGAATACAGATGAAAAGAATCCATTTAGACCTTACCCACATCCACTGGCTCCACACAGTGGAGGTTCCTCTTACTCTTAATATACTTATAAAAAAGGTTTTCCTTGATCCCATCTGCCAAAGATATTTTGTGGCCCCTTTGCCCTCCTAATTTCCTTTTTAAGCAGCTCCTCCACTCTCTGTATTTTTGAAGGGCCTCCCGGGTTTTTGATGCGCTGTACCTGACATACGCTTCCTTCATTTTCTTTATGAAACTCTTGATATCTCTTGACAACCAGGGTTCCCTGGACTTACTGCCTTTACCTTTAAGAGGAACTTGTTGTCCCTATTTCTCACAATACTACTTTAAAACACTCCCATTTTCCAAATGTAGACTACGTTTGCCAGATACTGCCTAATGACATTGAAATCGGCCTTCCCCAGTTTAGACAGTTAACCTCTGCACTATCTTTACCTCTTTCCATAATGACTTTGAAACTTGTAAAAATGCTCGCCCACTGAAACTTCAACTCGATTAGATTCATTCCCTATATTAGATTGAGCGCTGCTCCACCTCTAGTAGGACTATATACGTTCTGGCACAAAAAGATCTCCTGAATGCACTTTAAAAATTCCACCCCATCTAATACTTTCACAATGAGATGATCCCAGTTAACGTTAGCAAAGTTGAAGTCCCCTCCAACTATAACCCTGATTCTCTCACACCTTTCTGAGATTTACATATTTATCTGCACCTCCATCTCCCTCTGACTGTTGGGAGGCTTGTTGTATAATCCCAGTAAGGTAATTGCTCACTTTTTATTTCCAAGCTATATCCAGATGGCCACATTTGAAGACCCTTCAAGGACTTCCTTCCTCATTACTGCAGTGATGGTTTCCTTGATCAGTAATGCAGTGACCCCACCTCTCTTGCTTCACCCTGTTGTGCCTGAAATCTCTAATCCTGGAGAGTTGAGCTGTCAGTCCTGTCCTTCTTTCAACCATGTCTCAGCGACTGCAACTACATCATATTCCCACGTGTTGATCAATGCTCTAAGTTTATCTGCTTTACCAGTCCAGCTCCTTGCATTAAAATAGATACAACTGAACTTTCTAGACTTCCTATATGCCTTATCCTGCCCATGTCTTCTATACCTACTGGACTGTTTGAGCATTCCTTCTACATCTGATTGAACCTCGCTCTGTTCCCCCTGCCCCTGCCAGATCAGTTTAAAACCTCCCAAACAGCAAACCTCCCAGCAAGAACATTAGACCCATTCCGGTTCAGGTACCACCTACATCAGAACCTATCTTAATGATGCAAAAATCTAAAGCCATCCCTTCTACACCATCCTTTTAGCCACATGGTTGTCTGACCTATTCCTGTACTCAGTTGGGCATGGCACTGGATGCAGTCCAGAGATTACAACTTTAGTAATCTTACTCTTTTACCTACTACCCAACTCTTTAAATTCCTGCTGCAGGGTCACTTTTTTTTTAAAACCCATGTTGTTAGTACCGATATGTACCATGACTGCTGCCTGTTCACCTTTCCCCTTCAGAATGCCCTGCAGCTGCTCTGAGACATCCCCAACCCTGCAGCAGGAGGCAACATACTTTTTGAGAGCCTTGTTTGTGCCACAGCACTGCCTGTCAATTCCCCTGCCAATCCAAACCCCAATCACTAAAACTCTCCAGTCTTACTCCATAGAATCAATAAAATCCCTGCAGTGTGGAAACAGGCCACTCAGCCCAACAAGTTCACACAGACTCTCTGAAGACCATCCCACCCAGATTCAACACCACCCCCCATTGTATTGTCCATGGCTATTGCACCTAACCTACACATCACCAGACACTAAGAGCAATTTAGCTTGGCCAATCCACCTAGCCTGCACATCTGTGGACTGTGGGTGGAAACTGGAGCACCTGGACAAAACCCAAGCAGACATGGGAGAATGTGAAAACTCCATACAGACAATCACCCAAGGCTGGAATTAAACCTGGAT